GCAGTCCCTGTGCTTTGCTAAGCTTGTTCCAAATAGTTGCTTTAGACCACTGAGCCATCTCACCAGCCCTGAAAGTGATTTTTAACAGAAAACGCAACAACAATAAAATGGGGTTTTATTGAGACAGTCTCACTATGTAGACCAGGCTGATCCTGAACTCACTATGTACCCCAGGCTAGCCTCAAATTTGCTGAGATCCTCCTGCTTCAGCCTCCTGAGTTTTGAGATTATAAGCACGCACCGGTGCATACAGCTAGACAAGAAATATTTTCCTGCATGACTCATAAGTAACTGAATAGTAGACTTACCAATCTGACAGACTGTAAATTGTTGAATACTCTGTCGGGTCTTTAGATACCAGTCAGATGGTAAATCAAAAAGGCTGTGAAAAAGAAGGGACATTGCATACCATAAGCAAGGAGATCAGATCAGGGGTTTTCTCCTTGTTACAGCAATGAGGAAACACTAGTATCAATTAAGGCCAACAGTCAGGGGCCCCAACAGATAGGAGCAACCCACAAAAATGCTCTCCCCACCCCAAAAGCCAACAGCATGTCTGCCAAGAAGCCATGCTGCCTAGTCATGGTCTTCCCCCCCCCCAAAAAAAAAAAAGATTAGAACGATAGTCACAGTCTTATACAAAGGGGACCTGGGTGAATCGCCTCTCCCTGGTGTGCAGACAGCTTTACTTAGCTTTACCTGATCTGCTGGAGCCTGGACAGGTTAGAACGAAGTCCAGTGAACTCTATGTCCAGACCTGCAAAGTAGGCAAAAAATATAGTCTCCGGTGCACAGCACACCACCACCACGCTACACAAGGGGTGATCAAAAACATGAGGTGTTGCTGAGCCCAGTGGTGCACGCCTTGTAATCCCAGCGTTATGGAAGCTGAGGCAGGAGGATCACTTAAAAGGTCAGCCTGGGGTACACACCGAGTGTAGACTACACAGTGTGTAAACTATATAGTGAGACCCTGTCTCAGAAAACAAGCGTTTAGGACCGGAGAGATGTCTCAGTGGAATAAGCACAAGGGCCCGAGCTCAAGCCGCTGGGCTTGCCAGGCAAGCGCTTGCTCCACTGAGCTGTCTCCGCGGCCCCTACAAGGCGTGACTTAAAAACTACACATGGGTACATTGTCACCGAGAACGCTGCTGCCAAATGCGGCCTGAGCGAGGCCGGCTCCTGAAAACTCCACCTCCTCACTCACGATGGTACCTGGGGCCTTCGGGCTCTTCCCCGACTCAAAGGGACCCGGAAAGGTCGACGTTCTAAGTGAATCCTGGTCTCTAAGACAGTGCCATAGAGCAAGTAGAGACTCAGGAAAAGGACTTGCAGAACTGCTTCAGAAAGTGGTGAGAACGAAAGGTCGAGGCGGGGTAATGGCGGTGCGCCCACTGTCTTTTTTTTTTTTTTTTTTTTTTTTCACATTCACCGTGTTTTGATCACACCTCCTTAAGGCCGCAAGTGGCCCGCGTGCTCACCCTTCTCGGTGGAGAAGCCAGGTGGGGAGAGGCGGCGGCTAACGCAGACCCGCCGCTCCGAGGGGGCGACGGGCGCGACAGGCCTGGGGCCTGCGCAGGAACCCCGCCTTCCCAGGGGCCCCCGCCTTCCCGGGGCCCCCTCCTTCCCGGGGCCCCCCGCCTTCCCGGGGCCCCCCGCCTTCCCGGGGCCCCCTCCTTCCCGGGGCCCCCTCCTTCCCAGAGCCCCCCCTCCTTCCCAGAGCCCCCCCTCCTTCCCAGGGGCCCCCCCGCCTTCCCAGGACCCCTCCTCTGGGCTAACGGCCCGCAGCCACCCGCTCCCGCGCGTTACCCACGAAGTCGGCCTCCCGGAGGAGCTTCTGCAGCAGCGGGAGGCTCTGCTCGAACTCGTCGGCGCCCACGTCCATGGCCGCCCTGGCCGCTCGAGGCCGCCCGCCCGCCCGCGTGCTTCCCGTCCACTCGCCTCGCCTCGCCTCGCCGGCCTTAAAGGGCCCGCGCTACCTCGCGCCCCCCCCCCCAGCTGCCAGTGCCTGGGGCCTAACGATGAAAGGAGATGAAAGGCGCACGTAATCCGGGGCAGCTGCCTTGGGCTGAGGCCGTCTTCTCCGGCCTGGCACGACCTACCCAACTGGCAGAAGGGTGGGCCTCAAAGCAAACAAAAAAACCCAAGATAGAAAATATTGATAATCTGTTGTTTGTATAAATTTTCTTTTAGAAAAAATATATTGGGTGCGCGGGGGAGGGGGGTAGTTTGTAACTGAGAGGTCATTCGGGTCACTTCCTTTCAAGCCTTCCCTCGAATTCTAGACTTCTATTTCAGGAGTTTAATGGTGCTCCAAGCAATAAAGGAAGGGGAGAAAAAAATTAAAAATCTTCTTTTAGGTGCCTCCGGTGGGATACTAGTAGGGGGCTGCTGTGATGCCGAAGCCTCGAAATCAACCACATCTCTTAAAATACTGGGGCATACTGTATTGACTTACGTCATCCTTACCCAGGGACCATTCCAATCCTCTGTATCCTGCCAATTTTAGTACGTATCACCAGAGTCAGCAAAAAGTTGCATCATATTTGTAAAATGATATATTGAAGTCAGATTGTCAACAAAAACCTACTTTATTTCTAAATTAACGTAGTATTTTAAAAGCTGCTCTAAAATCTAGAAGTGCTGTCCTGTTCTCCCTCACACTCACCAACACGTACTTTATTTCACAGAGCCGCCATGGTCCACACCTCCCAAGTGCCCGTTAACTTTCAGCCTTTGGACCTCTTCTCTCTATTCTCACTTCATAGCAAGCTGAACCCACACTATTCTTGGTCGGTTTCCACTTCCACCTGCAGTTCTTCCTGGCTCTTTTCCTCTACCTGCTTATCCGCAGCAGGAATCAAGAGCCACAGGAACTCAGCGTTAGTCCTTATCTTCACATACTGACAGGATCTGTTTAAGAAAACAAAACCGACTAGATGCCTATAATCCCGGTACTCAGGAGGCTGAGGCAGAAAGACCACTGTGAGCTGGACGCCAGCCTGGGCTACAAGATGAGTTCAAGGTCAGCCTGCACTGAGCTGTCTCAAAAAGACAAAACTGTCCCCAAAAGACAAAAACCAGTCCTACACTTCAAACAGCAAACAACTCATATTTCCTGGGACCCCTCACCATGAGTCACCCTTGGTAATGCATGTTTTGCAGATATGAATACCCTTGCTCCAGGGCAAGAAAGTTCATATAAACAGAAGTTACTGTGCCTTTATTTTGTTAATTTACAAATTTTGTCCTTCAAAAGTTACAAATGATTATGCTTTCCTTAGATACAGCTTTCATAACTAAAAATGAGGAAGAATTTAGATTAAAAAACAAAACTTTACAGGCAGGCGCACACAAACACACACACACACCCCAAACCTAACTACAAATAATCTTCCACTGTTACATTTATTTATGTTTTTGGCGGAACCAGGGATTGAACTCAGGCCCTTATGCTTGCCAGGGAAGCGCTTATTCCACTGAGCCATCTCCCCGGCCCACTTCTACATTACTGCTAGGAAACTTCCAGGCTTTTTCTTCCAGAAGCTTTCTTTCGATGGCCATAAGTAGCTAACAATTTTGTACTAACACAATTAATACCTCCATTTCATTCATAGATTCTCCGAGGTTCCTGAAGCACCACACCACCCTCCGTCATGGCACTTTGTAGACGCTTTATCTGGTTTTGAAAATCAGAAAAGAAATTAAGTCAGCACACAAGAAAGCAGAAGATAAAAAGCTGAGTACGTTCACCTTCCAAGAGATAATGAAACAAACAAAATCTGCTCTTGCTAACCTCCCAGGCTACATTGTTTTCAGAAAGTGATCTCAAAAATGACCTAGGTGAGAAAAAGAGAACTGACAAATAATCAGCAGTATTTTAATATATTGGCCAGGATACCGGTATGTAAAGAGGAACTACAATAGTTGATACTGTGGACTAAAAAGAAATCATGCTGAATTTGAAATCCACCACACACTGACTCTGATCTATTTATGTACAGAATGGGAATACTAGTCCATACTCTATAGGTTGTCGAGAAAATTAAATTAAATAATGCTGTCTTGGACTCACCAGGGTCTAACAAATACAAATCATTTGGAAACTATTATTATGTCAATATTTACTATCAAAAATTAACAAAGTACTTTCTATATATAAATTATTTTGCAGCACTGCAGATGGAACCCAGGTGTCCCATGCCATGCAAGAGCTCTTCCACCAAGCCATACCCACAGGCCTCCAGTGCCCTGAACCTTTTAACTACATGAACCAGGGAGATAGCTCAGAGGCACAAGAGCCTGCCTCGCAAGTGGATTCCCGGTACCCACCTCCTCACCAAAGGAAAACATAAAGCCTTTAAGTACATGAAAACAAAAGTACCGAGTCTGCTGCTGCTTCCCAAGGCGTTGGCTGGAAGACCATGAAGTTGATTCCTGCTTCTAAGCATCGCTGTGCCAGCACTCGTCCTATACTCTCACAAGCTACCATGTTTCTGGTACTATAAAGGTGCTTTCTGATAGCCCACTCACGAGTGGATGCTGACACCACAACCCGGCCATTCCAGTGCTCCACAAGGGCTTCCACGTGATGCTGGGTCCTTATAACTCGCAACCTAAATGGGATAAGAAGAGAATAAAATCATACAACTATCTATCCATCCCAAAGTTAAACTCAAGCTGATGAACAAATGCCTGTATATTTTCCAAAAATTCAAAGTTTAGCTTTAGAGCTAAACTTCTGTGTGCTGGATATACACTTTATGCTTTTATTTCCCAACTAATACCAAAATGAAGACTTCAATATAAAAATTGAAATTATCGGAATATTACAAGGAAACACGAGAATTTTTTTAATAATCTCAAAGGAAAAGTAAACCTACTTAAATGACACCAAACATGGTATACGGCTTTTATGTAAGATGGACACAACTTTCTGTATGGTAAGAAAAACAACACAGTAAAGTCAAAAGACAATTAATGACACTTGGTGGTAGAGGACTTGTGTGAATAAGGCCCCATGTTCAATCCTCAGAAACACACACACACACACACACACAAAACAAACAAAAACAATAGAAAAAGTTTGTTTGTTTGTTTGTTTGTTTGGTGGAACCGAGGATTAAACTCAGGCCCTTGTTTATTCTGAGCCATCTCCCTACCCCCAAAAAAGTATTTTAAACATGTATTTTTCAAAGGGGTAATTTCCATACTACATACAATACCCTCTATCATCAATAAGGAAATGACCGAGAACTCAAGGGAATAGATAAAGAAAGAATTTGGTTTTTTGAGAACGGGTCTCACTATGCAGTGCAGGCTAGCCTTGAACTCACTGCATAGCCCAGGCAGGCCTGGAACTTACAGTGTTCCTCCTGTCTCAGCTTCCCAAGTACTGGGATTACAGGTGTGAACTACCACATCACATGCAGGATTAGAACAATGTCCATGGAAAAGAAAAATATTAACAATTTATAAAAAATAGGGGCTGGTGAGATGGCTCAGTGGTCTAAAGTACCTACTTAGAACAAGCTTAGCAAAACACAGGGACCGCGGTTCAATCCCCCAGCACCACATGCCAGCCAGCCCTGCACCCTGGTGGGCTGAGCTGGCCACACACACACACAAATAAATTTTAAAAAAAAATTTATAAAAAATAAAATAAAAACAATTTGTACATTCACAAAAATATGTCCACCCTCAGAAATAAAATGCATCACAAAGACAATTCATTACACTATAAACTAAAAGATAATCATTAACAGCCAGATAACTAGAAATATCCTCAAACTGATGTTCTACAGTTGGAATGAAGTAGTACTTTACCTTCTAAAGGTGTATCTTGGTCTTCTTGAGACAGGGTTTCACTATGTAGTTCAGGCTGGCCTTGAACTCACTTTGTAGTCCAGGCTGGCCTCAAACTCCTAGGAATCCTCCTGTCTCAGCCTCCCGAGTACTGGGATTCCAGACATGCACAACCCCACTTGGCAAAAATTACACTCTTTGAAAGAGAGAGTTAAAAAGAAATAAAGAAAAAGTTGACAGTAAAGAGTCCTTGTAGAGGACCAAGTAGTAAACACTTTAAGCTTTTAGACCATGGCTTGTATACAACTCAGTCACTATACTGCTAAACTAATACAAGTAAAAAAACTCCTTTGTAGACACCAAAATTTGAAATTTATCCAAATTTCAAGGGTCATAAAACACTATTTTTTCAATCTTTTTTATTTATTTATTTTTTTTTTTTATTTTTTAACATTTATTTATTTATTTATTTATT